TGTAAAAAACTTTAAAATGAATTTGCGAACGCTTGAATCACAAAATGATATGCCCTTTTTCATATTTTCCCACTGAATTCGCGAATATGAAGTACCCGTAAAATTAACCGTTAATAAGGTACACACCAACGAAGGAATCTGCACAAACGAGGGATTTTAAACAGTTTATTTTCTCTAAGCCCATTTAAACAAGTTTTAACGAGTCAAAATTTTCTCGATCATTTCCCTTCTTCCCTGAGAAAGACTGATCTGCTTACAAATAAAAGATGGGAATCTTGTAACCGTGTGGAATTGCTTATTGTTTGATTTCGAAAAGGGAAACTATTCCATCCTGTACAGATGAACAAACTCTTCCTAAAGTAAGTACCACTTCACAGACCTGAATTTAAACGAACAAAAGCCCCAGTCTCATAACGCGAATTATGCTCAACAAATTTTCTTTGTCCATGCTCGTAATAAGTACTTGATACTTCACTTTATTTACAAAGATTTTTGGTTCGCCCTCGTTCCTCTTGTTGACACTCGGTTTCTTTCAAAGTCATATGGCTGAAATATTTTGATCAGGTTTGACACGAGGAACAAAGAAAAAAACTCTCTTGGATTTGCCCCGTCACCAGCAGATGGTGTTGCAATTGTGTAGCATGGAATTGGCAGTAACGCTCTTGTTTTTTCTCGACATTTCATTTCTACAATTTCTTAAATTACAGTTGGCATATGAGAATTTAATTTTTCCTTATAATGCATAGGTGAAGTTTGGTGTGTTTCATATTGGCTGTGAGGCCCAGTACAACTACCACTTAGTCAAGCTATTTTCAGCCTCGCTCAATACTCGATGATCGGCAATCATACCTAACGAGGCAGGAATTACGAAGATTCGAAGACTCAATTTTGTCCCAAAGCAGAAATTACTGGAGACAGTGATTCTTGCCGTTTTTTCTTTTCCATGGCAAATTCTGATTTTAAAATGAAGTCTATAGCCACTTGCTCTGCGGCACATTCATTCAAATTAAAGAGAAGTTAAGACTGAAATACTGTTACTTATCAATCCCAATCATTTTTCATTTTTCCATTTTTTTTTCTTTTTCTCTCTACATGGTGTTTAACTGAAACATTTACTATCACAAATTTTCAGATCGATTAGGATAGAATAATTTTTGTCTGTATTAGCCATAGCAGGGAACTAAATCGTTTGAGCCGGGTAATGATTTTCTTTATAAGGTGTAGCATGAAAATTATACGTGTTATTTTGCACCGAGAAAAAGAAAATTGGGGTTGTCTTGTAACTGAAATTTTGTTACCGAAACTGGGTTTTAAAATTACCCGAACCCAAGAGCAGCAGAAACTTCCGACTCACAAGGACAGTTAATTTAGCCTATTTATTTGAGCTAAATACGAGATAGATCAGACCATTCGGGACAAAGGATATCCGCCATGGATTATCCTCCGGACTTTATGTTTGGTAGTGCTAAAAATTAAAACTGCTGAAAATGAAAGAGGACGGCACCGTTTCACCATTTTCGTCGTTCCTCAACGATAACAACGTGAAAATAGGATGTATATGTCAAAGAATACCCGCCATGAATCATCCACCGGACTATATTTGGCAATGCTACAAGCTGAAACAACGTGGCATCGTTCCGGCAACGATAACAACGTGAAGATAGGATCTTTGTCTCAATGAAGTCAGGATCAGCTGTTTCCTATACGCCAGGACATCCTTCCTTTGCATCTTGCTTTTAAGACAAAACAATTGATAAGTACATTTTCGCACGATTTTTGTATCACCTAAAATAAAGTGTCTGAAACGGAGGTTCCCAAACTGTTTTTTAACAAAAGAATTTTATTCCTAAAACCAAACTTGACGAATAATCGTTCCAAAAGCGGGGGTCAAGGAGATGTTTAACTAAATTTCAGAGTTCTAACAATTTTGTTTTCAGTAGTTTCTTTCTTATTTGAGTGCAGTTCTTTTATGAATACCCGTCTCAGAGTCTTCTTTTAATTGACAAAGTCGTGAGCAATACTCTGTATTTTTATGAAAGAGAAACAGGAGTTTGTTTTTTAGTGCATCCGTATTTAATGATACCCGATAGAACCAGGGAAAGTGTTTTTGAGAAGAAAACACCGATAATCTGAATCATGAGAATATAAATAGCATTAGTCTTTGAGTAGGCAAAGCAGCGAATATAGTTCTAAACGAGGAATGAGAATTGTAAATTTAAAGTTATTTCCCGTTAGTTTTTAGAATAATTTTTACATCAATGTAATGCACCTTTGTCCTAACCTGAGAATTGGATTGGCCCTGAGTAAACACAGATTTTTGGAACGAACATCTTCGACCAGAGTACGAAAATAAAGCTAAAGAATCCAACACAATGAGACATCTACGTTTTGAGTAGAAATGTCGATTTCGACACTGTTCGAGATTTTCAATAACTAAACGGTGGGTGAACGTGAATCTATGTTATTTTGCTCCAAAGGAGAATATTTTCGAAAAATTACGTCAAGACTAATATAACGGAATTACATGGTTACCTACGAAGGCCAACAATACCCGCGTAGACTTTGTTGGTCACGAAAAGTACAGTGGAGCTTCACGAGTCATAGATTTCCCTTGTAAGATAGAGATAGACAGATGAACAACAGGTAACTAAATAGAAAGAGGGATCGATAAAAATAAATAGGTAGACATGAAAATAAAAAAAATACGGGTAAATAAACTTTAAAACGAAAATGGAACGAGAACGTGAAACATAAACAAATAGAAATGATGGTAATCCGAGATTATATTTGATTTGATTCCAGGCTTTGCTTGTCCACCGGTTCTTTCTTGCTTTACTTCAAGTCATAATCAAAACAGCAGTGAATCTGCGAGGACCCTGACCCATCTTTTTAAACAGCCGACTCCTCTCATTTTTTCCAATTTGTTAGCTTTATATTGGCTTAAGGACGCGTGCATGACGGGTATGCTCTTGTCATGGCAACCGACTGATGTTAATGATGGATAAATAATGAAACTTTTCCTGTTTATCAACTGCCATCTTAACACCTGGTTGTCGTGGTATTTTCCTATGATTTATTGCTCTTCAAGATGACGGTAACGAGAGGCAATGAATGAGAGACGCGTTTGCTCCATGGTGCCATTTCGTCGGCTGCTGAGCAAGAAGGAGTCTTCATGCTGTGTAGCATAACGGTTGCTTATCTTGTATCTGACAGTTACTATTCATTCCCACTGCTTGGCTAACAGTGTGATTTCTCTGTGGTTGAGCTACTGATCGGTTGATGAGTCAAAACAGGCAAAGATGAATCGCTAATGATCGGTCAATTAACTGTTCGAAATTAGCACAGTGAAGTTTTTTTCCAAAACAAAAATAAATATAATAAAATAGAAAAGCAGGCCTCATTTCAATTTTGGTTATGGAAAGAGCTGGTTCTGACACAAAATCATTAGCTCACAAAAGGCCAAATTTAAAAAACTTATTTTATTTTTTTTTTAGTCGATACCAGTTTTGGTGCCGAAGTCATCCAAGTCGGGGAAAAGAATTTAGAGTATTTTCAACCCACGCTCCCTGCTGCTGTTTTGTTATGGTTTCATTTTACCTAAAGGAACTTCATTGAAAAAGGCAGGTGCATGACAAAGCACAGAGACGTCTATCTCAGTTTATTTTTCAGGGAACCCAAGCCTGAGATTCTACTTCGCAAAACATGAATAGCTGAAGTCCTCTAATCAATATATGATTTCAGACCCAGGCTATTTCAGCGGCGGATCTGCTCAACCGCTAAACAAGGATGACACTGTAATGACGGGTTTCAGTGGAAATATGAAAATATCACGATATCATTTACAATATCCTCAAGCAATTTAACCATCATGAGTTGTGATCAAATCCGATATTTTCATATTTGAACTGGTTCATTGGGTAAAGTAGAACTTGTGCACGATACAGATGTGTTACTCACGGGAAATCAGTTACATGTATTCGTGAGTACCGGTAAATATTTGGTTAAACAACTCTACAAATGAATATTCCAAAACATCAATCGAGAAATAATCACTTCTTTTGACATTATAGATCATTGGTGGCTCCGCAGAATTAGCAAAAATAAGAGGAACGATCTATGGCGTAAAATAAGGATTGCACGATTTACCTTTCGCTTTCATGCGAAATCGAGATCGCTTTAAAACTGGAATTTCTGATGATTTCTACAACAACTCGAGATTTTTATTCGTGGAAAAAATTAAACGCCGATGGACATTTTAACGCTTTTCTCGGATGCAAAATACAAATCGCTTTGTCATAAACATCCGATTAACGAAAGCGTGAACCCTTTTCTGACACAATAGCGTTAAGCATCCAGGCAGTTTCGCTTTGACATGTGTTGTTCACCTAACTACAGACTAATTACATGTCGCTGTCTGATAAACCGATCTAAAATAACCTTCTCTGTTTCAATCTGGCTCCCTGCTGGGAATTATATTGCGCAAGTGGACAGTGCATCCTTTAGCATTTTCTATTCTTTTGTGCATTGGAAAATTACCTCGGGCGAGGTTTGACAAAATGCAGACCCACAAAGTCTCGTAGTTAAAGATTTTAATTTCGATAATGATCTTTTTATATCTAGAACTAAGCGCAAACTTCTGCTATTCGAATACCATTACTCTTAAATCGGAGTTTATGCTAAGGTAATGTCTAGAATAACACCAGGTTGTTTGAGTTGTATCGCTTTCAAAATGGGACTTTCCGCTTTAGGTTTGACACTAGAATCGAATCTCCTTGGTGTAGATCTTGCTTGACGTATTCGTAACATCACCAAGGCTCAGTTGCTTTCCTCTACTCTCAAATGAGGAACAAACAATACGTGAATTAAATACTCTCTTCCTCGGGCTTTTGTTAAGTGATTCCTTTTCTTTATTACAATATGTAAACAATCATGCGATTTTTCATTGGTCGGTGAGCAAAGTCTGGCACGAGCAACATACTAAACGTTATTATTTACTTGAGAGGGAAACGAGTCATGTAAACTCCTTTATTCCACATTCGGAGCAAAGGGAGCATCTTGTTAAGACATCACCGGGTAATCGTCTTATTTTGAATACCTTGACCACCGATATGAACATGGAAAAGGGCTCCAGTCCTCGGTTGACCAAACGTGGTAGCTTTTCTATAGATGACATTCTGAATGTCAAAAACTCTAGCGTATCGAGTGATGATCTCTCATCTGAAGAGCCTTTGTCCAAAGAAGACTTAATGATAACAAAAAAATTGGACAAGGAGCCTTCAAAACCATCGAAGAAATTAGACGACAAAGTTGCCTCCTTTCAAGGTAAGGGCCAAAGCAAGGGTAACAAGTACTTCTGATCGAGAATTTTGAGGATACGATACAACATGAAGATAAATAATTATGTATTTCATCTTTTGTTGATTTATAAACATTGAAACTTTTAAAGGAACTTTCACGCTCATGATTCTTTATGGACCCATGACGTTTTATAATCATCCTTTTGATTTAGAGGTCTCCATCTACTAAGTTTCTATATCATAATCAACCGACAAATTTTTGTAGACTGAGCCTCCCACTTCAGTCAGTAATCCGCTCGAAATTTCCACACCATTGTCAATGGCTACCAAAATAAAGCAGTGGGAAACGTATTTCTTTCAAAAAGGACAGTTTTGTTAGGCACAGCACGCAGAGAGACGCTAGCTGTAGAATAACACCACGTGTAGTTTCCTAATAGTGTCAAATAGCATGAATCAAGTCGTGGTTCCCTCCCGAGCGAGGCATAAAGGAAACTTGCTGGCCCATTGAGAAATGTTTACTTGAATTTAATCGCAAATGAATGAGTTGTTATCTTGTTTATTCCAAATATTATGTTAACCAGAGAACCTTATACCAACTGAGTCTAATAGAGAGCTCATTAAACCTAAGCAGAACTCTCTACCGACAATTTCCAACAACCTTTTTTAAATTTGTCGATTCGAACATAGAAAGGTAAGATAATTGACAAGATTGAGTGGGCGTAACAGGGGGTTAAAATTCAAATTTTTCTTCTAGTAAGAAAGGGAGTTGGCAGGGAGCTATCAATTATTGTGAAGAGCCTAACTGCAAATTTACAGATGCTTGTGATTTCTTTCCCATTAACTTCTAAGGCGCACGTCAAAATGAAGGACGACCAAGTGTAGAACTCAAGAAAAGGCCACGCACTGCTTTCACCAACGAACAGATAAATGTCCTAGAGATCGAGTTTCAGAAAAGCAAGTACCTCAGTGTCGCACGCAGAATGGAGCTTTCAAAACTGTTGGAACTCTCAGAGACACAGATCAAAATATGGTTTCAAAATCGCCGTACGAAATGGAAGCGAAAGCTGGCGGCTGAGATGGATTACGCCATTGCTGCCCAAGGCTACCTGTACCCTTCACACCCTGTGTGGCACGGGCCTAAGTGTTACTTTGACAGTAGTTTGACCCATTCCAGCCGCTTACACCCATCACTCGTGACAGTTTTCCATCCACCTATATTCACAACAACATCAAAACAGTCACCAAGGAGCTATCCACCTTCAAATCTCAACCCAGCACTATTTTAAGGACAGCTAAAGCATTCAGTCATAGCCTCTACTTAGATAACATTCAAGGCTGTGTCAAAATATCAGAGACCTTATCCCTTAAGTTTTTTTTTTTAAGCTGATGTACTAAATATATGATAGAGTTTTGTATCCGCTGTCAAAGATGCCAGATTGACAAAATGTTGAACAATAACGGATCTTAGGTCCAGCAGAATATAGCGTGCCAGCCTTTTTCCGTGGAATTTCTTCGCCAATAATAATTAGATGGAAACAAGAAAAAATTGTTTTCAACAGTACGTCACGAAAAATGCTGATGAAAGTATAGCGCTCGCATAAAGGAATAGGTACAGCTTGTAACGAAGTAGTGCTTTGTATAAAAGGCGTCATGAATATAGAAAAGAAAACCGTAAAACTACCTTTTAAACATTTCCATCAATAGTGATTTAGATTATATTGTTCGTGTTCGTTTTAAGCTATGATAAAGTAAACCAACGAACATTTATAAGAGCATGTTAAATTAGCAGATAGTTATTAAACGCGCTCGGGATAAGTTAATTGAGCTTTATTGAACAGTGTGAGAGCTCGTTTTGGTTTTGTTATATTTCATAATTAAAGTTTAACATAAGCCGACGATTTTTTAATTAAAAACGCGCGAATTAATTGCACATCATGGCAAAATCACCACAAATATTGAGTTATCTCTCTCTTATGATTATTAAAAAAGCAGGTAAGCGTAAAATTATCTAAGTGCCACTGGCGACGAATGCAATTGGGCTGTTTACAGGAACACCTTCTTTCTTGTGACAAAACATCGGTCCAACAAAGACAGCAATTCCAATTAAGCGCTGGGCAGAGCTCTGTGTTTTTAAAATTCGGTTAAACAACAACGAAAGAAATCGGGAAGGACAACTTTTTGCTACCAGATTGCTTGTGTAACATCGAAAAAAGTGCGTCTTTGCCAGGGAACACTAAAGACGACAATCTGTTAATTCCAATTAATTGACTTAATAAGAAAACTATCAAGACCAATGAGCCACATTCGGAAAAGCTACCAGGTCTCTCTGTAATACAATAACGAATACAAATCTCCAACGATTAAATCTTTTTCCACATCATCGCATTCTCATCAAGAATAGATCACTCTCTATGCCAAGTTTAATATGTTTTTCGGCAGTGAACTTTGATGTTCCGCCAGCTTGTTAAAGTTTGAGTAGGGAACAACTTCACCAATGCTGAATGGAAATCATTGTGAGGTGCAATTGGAAATGCTGAAAATTTGTCTTCAAAGGTTTTATTTGCCAACTAAGTGCTTCCTTTAAAAGCTTTTAAGAGATTACGAAAATGTGCTCCTTATAATAACATCCGCTGAGTTTAAATGGAACAGGATGGTTTTACATTTGTAAGCAGACTTGGACGTATCGCTAGTAAGTTTGCAAGCGCTTTGCAAACCATCTTTGGATCTATTTAAAATCGATTCATTTCACTCGAAAGTTGATTGTCAGGTAAAACACTACTAAAATTCGTAAAAATTTCGACTCACTTACGATACCAAACAGAACTAATGAAATTCTGCTTTGCCAGGGACTTCGTGGATTAAGCCGTGATTTGGAACATCAGTACAATGATTGAGAAAATGAAAAGTATTTTCACAAACTTTTGAACGAACATACACTGTACGATCGCCGATGGATGGTAAGTTCCATACGAGTCATGCATCAAGACAGGTGTGTTTCACGTGCAAAATTTACATAAATCAGTTCAAGAAACACTCTAACATAAGGCATATCTTAGATTCCCCCCTAAATAATCATGATTTTATGATATTTTAGTTAAAACGAATTCTTTCTCTTACGGTTACTTCATTTCATTTAGATTTCAGTGATAATAGTTAATGAAAACTCAAATGACTAGGCATTGTGGCTCTTTAATTTCTTTCCTTCTCGAACCTGAACCGTTCTCCTTCACCAAGGAGCTCCTCTTCAGAAAAGTCAGTGCACTAAAATAAATTATAAAAGACATTTGGAACAACTGCAAGGAAATATCAGCCACTTTAGAATTTCCTATCAGTGACAAATCCAACTGTTGCCTTCAGGTAAAAAAGGCACTACACAGCCACGGATACAGATGGCGGATGAAGAAAGCAGGTAAAATAGAAATATAAACAAGCTAATCGAATGAAGACTTACACTGCTGTAAAAAGTAAAATGTTTTAAAAATCCGAGCTTAGTTTGTATATATTTTAACAATGCTGCTGAAGGACAACATTAAGGGATTGGTAAGATAGAAAGTATGCATATTCATTCCCATTCTCTGTCTCCATGGCAGCAGTTGCTATGGATATTGCAATTGTACGAACTTAAGCTGAGGATGAGCGATTATCGGGTGGGGTGCCACGTGTTCATTTTAGAAAGGAGTAGTCACTTGGCTGCAGACTGATGCTCCCAAGGGAATTTATCAGAAAATGGTTTATGATAGAGAAAACTGGTGTTTCGAAACTATCCTTTAGACAAAATTCAGTTGGGTCATACGCCAGCTGTACGTTCAACGAGTGATGAAGCACGAAATAAAATAGAAGGAAGAAGAACTGTTGAAAATCTGGAGTTGTTTCTTGACTGCTCACCGAGCAGCTCTTACACATCTGTCGTGTTCTCCAAACCAAGTTCGTAAGTGTTAAATACCTCGATGAACGCACGCTTATCAATGGACCATTGCTGATTCGTTACATGAGCCGCTAAACTGCTAACTTTGTATTATTTTGGTCGCAGAATACTTCAGCTTCAAATAATGTTCACCAAAGCTTTAAAAAGAGTGTGCTAAACAATGCCATCGTCCAAATAATGACCACAAATTGACTTTCGATTTGCTTTCGAGTTTCGTCGTTCATTTGATACCGTTCATTTGATGCCGTAATTAGAAATCGTTTTCGGAACCTACGTGACAATAAGCAGGATTACTTACTAACCTTGTTTTCTCGTTATTAACACTGAAACTTTGATATATGGCCCACGCTGTTTATGCTTGGGCCAAGAAATTAAAACGGGAAAAACTCGATCCGTAACTCACAATACAGACAACAATCTCCGTCAATTTTTAAAGGTGTCGACTCGACGATGTGGTGTTTTTTAGGGAAAGTACACGTGCAAAATCTGTCAATATTTTCCCTTCAGTGCGAATTGAGATCTTCGACAGTGACAAAATCGATAGTAAGGTTAAACATCTTGAGTAAATCAATAGACTCAAGAAAAGACGCCCATTTATTAGTCTAACTGAATGTATATATTCCTTCCCTATTTATTATCAGATAAGATTGGGCGTGACTCTCAAAAAATAATAGTTCCAAATGAACGCTGCATTCCAAATTTGGAGCTAATGTAAGAACGTCAGTTAAAATTGACATGGTTCCTTTGGTGTGGCGATCCGTTTGGCTTTCTTGCCGTTCTTGGATGCACTCTTTCCAGGAACAGATGATTTGGTTGGCAATCTGGACTGATACAGTCGTCTACCTATTAACCTTAAGTTTAAGCTTGTCCCTCAAGATGAAACGTGTATCTAAAGTCTCTTATCGCTGCCGTATCCTTCATCGCTTGATATATAAATATATCTCATATTTATACATATTATATACACTTTGCTATGCCTGAAGAGTCGCAACAACGGTGAAACGAGTAGCGCAAAAGCAAAGTAAAAAAGGACTTTCGTTTTTCATTTATATTAGTATATATATAAGCGAAATAGGGAACGTAGGATCCAGGACAGTGCTCGACAATGAAGGAGCGATTACAGTAGCAAATGGACTACTCAAGTTACGCACATATGGATTTTAATACAGCCTGTTTTGTAGACCAACAAAAGTTGATCCACTCATCAGTTAAACTCCATACACACTGAGGCATCGTGACGGTTAACTCTAACTCAGCAACGTGACCACATTACATAGTTTAAAACACTCAAATCTTGAACATCGGCGAAAATATATTCTCAAGTACTCTTAACGCTATTATCGGCGCGCAATAAGGTTTTTTTTTGTCAATAAGGTTAATGAACGCTCTGCCAATGTTGGTCTGGACTTTTCTGTTAAATGGTGGGTTAAACCAAATTATGTTTCTTCGCCTTTTGGTTTGGTGTTGCGGTCGGGGCGGTTCCGGTTCAGTGAAGTGCAGCTTGTATGTGTAGCCACTCTTGTGTAACGCGTCTTGGTAGGGAGGTGCGGCTTTGTTAAACATGTCTTCGCCAGAAGAGATTTCAGAAAGTCTTTTATTAACTGCGTCGGGGATGTTTCCTAGTATGCAAGGTGGGTGGTTAGACTTGCTGTGTACGTATAGATGGGTAGTTGCTGGTTTGGAATAGGGTCCGAATCTGCCGGTTATCAGGTCAAGCGTTACGTCGAGAAAGTTGATGATTTTCTTGTTTGCCTCGATGGTAATTCTAAGGTTGTTTTGGGCAAATATCGTGCAAATCTGTTTCTTAATTCTCTCCACTTTTTGGGGTGTTTGGTTTATAACTGCAAGGCCGTCGTCACGGTAAAGTCCGATGTTAATTTCTGGTATAGTCGCAAGCTGTGATAGGAGGTAGCAGCCGACTAGTTCACATGTCTCCGCTCCATCATAACTTCCCATGGTGACGTCGAAAAGGCCGTTGGAATTTTTCTTCTGCCAAGAGGTC